TATTTATATTCTCTATTAATGCTTTGACAGAAAGATTCAGGCCAATTTTGTAAGGGTTTTCTATGGTGGAGCTTTGGGCTCTTTGTGCAGAGATGGCTTAAACCAACACGATGTATGGTCCGGTTGTTTATCATGGGGAAGACAAGCCATGTTGGAGATGGTCTTTATTGCGACCAAAGGTTTTGGAAGGATTACTAGCCGTAGAGGGCTTGAATCTCTTTAAAGAAAGCGATATTACCATAGCCTCAGTCCGCTTTGTATAAATCCTTATTATTTGTGTGACCACTATTTTATTAGTAATAGTGATTGATGTGTAATCACGCTGATTTATATAATGGACAAAGAGGAAAGATCCACTAAAATAGTCTGAGTAAGTCAAACCACATTAAATTTGGGTGTCTTCTCATAGTTGATGATTTTCTGACCTCAATATTTTTTTTTTGCCGCATATAATTTATTTTTGGGTGGCTAATTATGCAACAAAGCTAAGAGGACTCTTATAGAGTCGTGACTAGCGTGATGGGTTATGTATTCACACCCAGAGCTTATGGCAAGGTTTGAGTCATGAGAATCAAAACTCTTTGACAAAAAGCAAAAAAGAGGGCAAGGTTGCTTACTTTGCTACCTCTCTTTAGACGCTACCATAAGTGGGGACCATTGTGCCATGGGTGCCGGGGGTCGTGAAAAATTAAAAAAAAAAAAAAAAAAACGGCTGACCTTGCCAATTTGCACCACCCTGCCACTGATCTATGCAGGTTTAAGAATCGGTGCTAAGCGGCTTGAGCCGATGCCAACACGTAAAAAAGCCGCTCGGATCCCTTATGAAAATGAATCCTACTTTGAATTGTTTAAATGCTAGGTCGTTCCCCTCAAGTGACGAGTTGCGCCTGCCTCCGAGTGTTTCGAAAAGTGAAGCAAGGGGCCGCCGCATCGACGCCTGGGTGCGGTGAAAATGGCAAAAGTTCCACATTTTTCTGGACGAGCCGCGGGTAAAAAGCTAGTCCAAGACTATAGGTTTAGGATAGCCACTTGGAACATAGGAACCTTAACTGGTAGGACGATAGAATTGGTAGATGTTATGATTAGGAGGAGAGTTAGTATAGCTTGCATACAAGAAACTAAGCAGACGGAAAAGAAAGCTAGGGAAATTGAGGATACTGGTTTTTAACTTTATTATAGTGGTAAGGATAGACGCAGGAATGGGGTAGGAATTATAATTGCCAAGGGTCTTGTGGAAAGTATGGTGGCAGTCACTTAGGAAAGGAGATAAGATTATGCTAGTTAAACTAGTTATTGGAGGGAATATAGTGAATTATTAGCGCTTACGCCCCTCAAGTAGGTTAGATGATCAGACTAAGAGGATTTTTGGGAGCAAATGGATGAGATCTTACAGGAGATACCCGTAGGAGAGAACTGGTTATAGGTGGAGATTTTAATGGCCATGTGGGCATAGATAATAAAGTAGGTTATAAAAGGTGCATGGTGGATAGGGTTTTGGTGACAGAAATGAGGCTGGAGAGAGAATCTTAGATTTGCGTTGGCTTCTGACCTGGTGGGCCAATACTATATATAAGAGGAGGGAGGAGGCATTTGATAACCTTTAAGAGTGGATTAGTTAAGAGCCAAATAGATTATTTCTTTAGAGAGAAAGTGGACTGCCTAAAATGCAATGATTGTAAGGTGATTCCTGGAGAGGTCTGGTCTTCTCAACATAGGATTTTTGGTAACTAGATTTATGTTTTAGAGGGTAATACCAAGCAGGAAGGATGGTGGGCGTCGTAGGACGAGATGATGGGAGCTTAAAAGAGGATAAACTAGAAATATTTAAGATCGAATGGATAAGGACAGGTACTTGGGACTTAGAAGGTGATGCTAACACTATGTGGAATTCGATGGCCAATTGTATGAGGGAATCTCAAGGGAAGTGCTTGAGAGTCGAAAGGAAGGACCAGCTCTAAGAAAACTTGGTGGTGGAGGAAGAGGTCCAAGCGGTAGTTAAGGCAAAAAAAGAGTGCTTTAAAAAGTGGCAGAAGGATAGAACTGAGGAAAACCTAAGAGCTATAGATTGGCTAATAAGGAGGTCAAGAAAGTAGTGAGAGAGACTAAGTTGAAAGTTTAATGATGACCTATACACTAGACTAGACAGTAAGGAGGGAGAGAAAAGGGTATACAAACTTGCTAAGATACGGAGAGGAAAATAAGAGATTTTAATCAAGTAAAGGCATCAAGAGTGAGGATTCTAAGGCATTGGTGAGGATGATGAGATTAAGGAAGATGGAAGAATTATTTTGAGAAACTATTAAATGAGGAACATGGAAGTACGACAATAGGGGAAGAAATAATCAGTAATACGATAAACCAAGACTATAGGTTCTATCACAGGATTAAATTTGAGTGGAGATTGCACTTAAGAAGATGAAATTAAATAAGGCTTTAGGACCTGATGATATCCCTATTGAAGCTTGGAAGTGTTTGAGTAAAAAGGGAGTTGCTTGGTTGACTAGGTTGTTTAGTAAAATTTTGTTGACTAGGAACATGCCAAATGAGTGGAGGAAGAGTATTTTAGTGCCAATCTATAAGAATAAAGCGTGATGTCCAGAATTGTAACAACTATAGAGGAATTAAGCTATGTGTCATATAATGAAAAGTGTGGGAGAGGGTGATGGAACGCCGATTGCGAGACATAACAGAGGTGTCAGAGAATCAATTGGGGTTATGCCTGGTCGGTCAACAATGGAAGCGATCTATCTTTTGAGGAGAGTAATAGAAAAGTATAAAGAAAGAAAAGAGGCATTCATAGGTGTTTATCGACCTTGAGAAAGCATATGACAAAGTGCCTCGAGATATAATATGGTGGGCGTTAGAGAAGGGGTGACAAAAGGCTACATAATTGACGTTGATTAGGGACATGTATGAAGGGGTGGTGACTACTATTAGATCGCCAGCTGGAGAAACAAATGAATTTCCATTCACTGTGGGTTACACCAAGGATTTACTCTCTCTCTCTTTTTGCTTTAGTTATGGACGAGTTGACGATAAATATTCAGGATGACGTGCCATGGTGTATGCTTTCTTACGATATTGTGTTAGTGGATGAGACTAGAGTAAGATGTAACACAAAGTTGGAGATTTGGAGAAAAGCTCTTGAATCTAAAGGATTTCGGATAAAGCAGAACTAAGACAGAGTACATGGAGTGTAATTTTAGTAACAGTAACAATGAAAGAGAGGAAAAGTGAAGATTGAGAACCAAAGAACTGCCTAAGAGTGAACATTTTCGTTATTAGGGTCGAGTATCTCACAACAGCGGGAGAGTTGATGCAGATGTGGCCATAGGATTAAGCGAGGATGACGTGTAAATGGAGAAGTGCGTCTGGGGTATTTGCGATAAACGAATACCCACTAGACTAAAAGGTAAGTTTTATAGAATGGCTATTAGACCAGCTATGTTGTATGGGACGGAGTGTTGGGCAACTAAGAAACAACATGTAGATAAGATGAGTGTGGCTGAGATGAGGATGCTAAGGTGGATGTGTGGTAAGACTAGACAGGACAGGATTAGGAATGAGTGTATTCGGGAATGGGTAGGAGTAGCACCGATAGAAGATAAGTTGAGAGAGAATCGTTTGAGATGGTTTGGTCATATTCAACGGAGACCAACAGAGGCAGTAGTGAAGAGATGCGATACTGTAATGGTAGATGGAAGTGTTAGGGGACGGGGTAGGCCTAGATTAACGTTGACTAGCGTTATAAATAAAGATATGAATCTACTTAATTTGACTAATGAAATGGCCTTTGATAGGGCCGCATGGAGAAGAAGGATTCATGTAGCCGACCCCATTTGATGGGACTTAAGGCTTGGTTTGGTTTGGTTTGGCTCATGCTAGTTGTTTTAGAAATGTTGCTGCTAATGCCACTGTTAATAACTTTTTTCCCAACCCGCCCAGCCCGTTTGTTTGAAACGCAGCATATTTTTCAATCAAATTGCTGGTTTTGAAGCAGTCTGATGGCAGGTGAAAACTTACTCAGCCCGCCTAATTTTTTTGGCTAAAAAAATACCCCCAACCAACCCAAACCAATCTATGCACACCCCCATTGGCTAGTGGGTACAACCCCCTTTAGGAGGGACTGTTGCAGAAGTCCTGAGAAAATGTGTGGCAATATTCAAAACCATCAGTTCTCTTTTAACTAGATTGACCCTCAGATTTTCCAGTTTCAAGGAAAAGCACAACTCTGATTGATCAACCAAATATATAATAGCTAGCGAGGCGCCTATCCATCTCAAGAAATAGGTTCCCCAGCTTGGTGAACCTACTCTCTTCTTTCGTCATCATAGAATTGACCTCCCAATGACACCTATAAGGATTTAATCAAATTGGTAATTTTAATTCAGGGGACCACAACTTGATTTCCTTAAAGATTTTCCTCACAATTTTTAAGTCTTATTTGCATTGACGGTGGCATCAACAGAGTAAAGAAACACTTTAATTTGGTCGTCAAACAAGGAAATTGGCTAGAAATTTAGCTCAAATAAATTTGCAAGATTCTTTGAAATTTGAATAGTCATACATGAACTATGGTTTAAATAAGGTGAAAGCCGTTCCATTCTTTTACCAGGGATTGAATTTTTTTATGATACAAAAATCTTTTGCAGTTCTTGTCAAAATGTAACAAATATGAAGAATCTCTTTGGCATTAAATATGACGAAGCTCTATAATATTTGTCTCTTTACTTTAGTTGAAACCATGTAGAAAATGCACTTATATATGTAATTCCCAAATTTCTACAAGCCAAGTAACATGGTAGTGAACTTTTTCTCATTTTACAGGTTTCACAAAACTTGAGAAGCAAGTTAGATTGTCATTGCACAAAAGAGCTCAAAAGGGTAAAAAAAACAATGCAAATTATGAGGAATTTAAACAAAAATTCTTGAAATGTTTAATGAACATAGAAATGTTATACATAACAACAAATAAAAACAAAAGCAAATTAAAGTGTTACCTTCCACTGGGTCAGTAACCTGGCCATCTGCCCCACCAAACAGATGAGAGCAACACAACCACACAACAAAAGCAGTTCCAAACAACATAATCCTCGTCCGGAACATCTCAATACACATAATTGACAAGAATTCTCAAACAACTCTCATAACCAAACACCCTAAATATCTGAATCACCCAAACTCCCCACCTGAAATGAGCAAGAGAAATAAGCAAACACAGATTTACATGCATATATGTATAAAAGAAACCCAGATAAAATAACATCTGCCCCACCAAACAGATGAGAGCAACACAACCACACAACAAAAGCAGTTCCAAACAACATAATCCTCGTCCGGAACATCTCAATACACATAATTGACAAGAATTCTCAAACAACTCTCATAACCAAACACCCTAAATATCTGAATCACCCAAACTCTCCACCTGAAATGAGCAAGAGAAATAAGCAAACACAGATTTACATGCATATATGTATAAAAGAAACACAGATAAAATAACTGAATTCTCAATCAAAATTAAATAATAAGAAGCTTTTTCAACTTCAAAATATAAATATACATATAGATTCCTTAACAAATAAAGAAAATAATTAAAAACCCTGTTCAAACAGTTTAAGGCGCAATAAGACAAACACGTGGCAGGCAAGAAAAACGATAAAAAAAAATTACATAAATGTATTCACAAATTGCAAACGTGGGTATGTATCTGCATCTATATATATATATATATATTTCCTGGGTATAAAAAATGAAGCAACCTTGAGGAGCAAGAGACTAGGGAGCTGGAGGAAGATGGGTTTGGTTCTGGTTTTTTTTTTTTTTTTTTTGGGTTTTTCTTTTCTTTTCGGAGGGTGAGAAGAAGAAAAGAAGAATGAAGGTGTGGAGTTGAAGAAGTCGCCATTACAATTGCTGGGCAGAGATTGAAAAAGACCAAGTTGAGATTACGCATCATTTTCAGGTGATGTTGTGTATGATAATTTGTTGGCGTTATTGACTTTTTTGTCGAGCTTTAACGAGGACTATCAGAGACTAGAGAAGAGTTTTTTTTGAATAACCTTAGGGTGGCGGCAGAAAAATAAAATAAAATAAAATACTAAAAAATAAAATAAAATAAAAAGATCTTATTTGAGAATAAATTATTTTAGTAATTTTTTAATTTTTTATAAAAAAAAGAAGCTCATCAACTACCTCCAACAGGGCCAAGGTTCGATTAGAGTACAACACGAAATCTTCGAAAATAACCACTGGAAAATACCCAGCACTTCATGCCCCCCAGGAGTTTGCTTGCAATTGAGAGGGCACTTGGAGGACCTTTCTTCAAGTTTGACTAATTTGTGATGAAGGTATTGAATTCTTAATAATTTTTGTAATTTTCCAATTATTTGCAGCATTTTTTATCTTCTTGCTATGATTTGAAACTCAATTTTTTTGTATTTTTTTTTTTTTTTTGGGAGAATGGGCTATTTTTTGGTAGCATTTGATAGAGTTTTAAAAATACGATTTGAGAATAAAGTTATATTTTGAATTTATGAGTTTTGGAATTATGATTTGAGTATATAAAATTTATTTGATTATGAGTTTTGAAAAGAGTTTTAAATTGAGTTTTGAATTGAATTTAAAATGTTTGATATAACATGTGAAATAAAAAAATTTATTTGATTATTAGTTATGAAAAGAGTTTTCAAAACTTAATTCAAAAAATTATAACTTATAACCAAATACATAACTCAAAACTCTATTAAAAATTCTATTCAAAACTCATAACCAAACTCTTTTAAAATTCAATATAACTTTTGATTGTATATTTGGTTGGAATTATTTTTGATTTAAAATATATAAAAAATATATTATTTTTGTTATAAAAATCAAAAAAAAAATTCTTTTTTTTTCCTCCCAAATAACAAGTGTCAATTGCAAAAATAAAATAAAATAAAATAAAATAAAATAAAATAAAATAAAAACATTGTTCCAGTCAATCGGCCGGACATTCGGGAGGACGTCCGGGAAGATGACCTGGTAGACCCAAGTCGTGCTTTTCAAAATTCAAAATTCAAAAAAAACTCTCTTCTCCAAACAAAAGTTGAAATGAGTTTTGCAATGTTATATTGGAATTAATTTTTTAAAATTTTAACCAAACAAAGCATTGAAAACAGTTCTGGAATCATGTTTCCAGAGCTGCTCCAAACACAGCCTTAGTTTTTTTAATAGATAAAAAAAATAATGGGTTTAAAGCAAATTTATTTGGAGAAATTATAATAAAAATTTCATGGTTTGACTGTTATAACAAAATAAAGAGTAAATTACAGTAAATCCCCTCAACTAAAGAGTAAAAATTTATTCATAAAAATAAGTGTGACTGATAAATTTTATTATTTAATAAATTTATCAATTGGACTTAATGAGTAATAAGTCCTAGCAGTACGACCTATTGATAATTTACTCAATAAAAAATTCTTACAAAAAAATATTTGTGATTTTTCAAATTATAAAGAACCACCTATATTTTAAATAAATTTTAGAAAATATCTGTGAAAAACAATTCTAACACATTTTTGTTGTGATAACATAAATGAAAAGTCATCATACATAACCCTTCTATTATAACTGTCACAGCAAAGCTATCCATAATTACCCAAAGTCCAACACTGACAATTAGCCTTGAGAGCCAACAGTTTCATGGGTTGCATATTCAAGAAGCAACCTCAGAAAATAATATAAATGAACAACAGTTTCATGGGTTGCATATTCAAGAAGCAACCTTGAGAAATAATATAAATGAACAACAGTTTCGTGGGTTGCATATTCAAGAAGCAACCTTGAGGATCCATTAGAAAGATTTGATAATGTTTAAGCGTTGGCCTCATTTTCATGCGCAAGAAATATTGAAAAACTTGGCAAAACCTTGAAAATTATAAGAGATGAGAATTGTCAGCTCTTTTTTCAGTATGTTATAAATTACGTAGAGTTCGTTTGAGATGTGAATTAATTTTTTGATTTTTTGACAATTAATCTGAGGCTAAAAAGTCTATCAGTCTCGTTTAGGATAGACTTTTTGACTTTTGTACGTTTATAAGAAAAAAAATGAAATAATTATAATTTAGATGTGACATTTTGTCTTATTGATTTTTTAGTCTATTTTATTTTTTTGTAACTAAAATAGCCAAAGGGAAGAAGAGTTGGGTTGGGTTTGAGGCTGTTTTAGCCATAAAAAGACAAAATAAGTTTTTTAGCTTAATGAAACAAAATATCACATCTAATCCATAATCATTATATCATTTCTTTCACAAAAAGTTAAAAAAAGTCAAAAAACAACCCACTTCCCAAATGAAGCCAAAAAAGATTATTCCAAACATCGTCTTATGACATGTTTGGAAATTTAGATTTTAATAAAAAGTCAAATGCACAATATCATTCTATTTGTTTATGACTTTTTATAAAAAATTAAAAAATCATTAAGGAAGCCAATTCCCAAATAAACCTTTAATCATATCATACTTGGGTTGTTTTGAGAAGATGGTTAAAAACTGATTTTTTAGTTTTTTTAAACTTTTCTTTTTAAAAAAAAAAGTATAAAAAATAGGAAATGGGGTCATTGCTGTGCTAAAAGCATAACAGTGACTGCTGTGACTCAATTTGAGGTGCATTATGAGCTTATTTTTATGATCTGAACCGTTCATGTTGTAGGGTTTGTAAAGTATTTCATGTTTACCAAAAATCATATTTATCGGATTTCAATATCTATATGATCGATAAGCAAAAAAATAAACAATAATTTTTTTTTTTGTTGAGAAATAGCATAAAAAATATGCCGTTCGATCATATAGTTATTGATATTCGATTAATATAATTTTTAGTAGGCATGAATTACTCAACAAATTCTACAAAACCAACGGTTCAGATCATAAAAATAAGCCCATAATGCACCTCAAATTGAGACACAACAGTCACTGCTGTGCTTTTAGTACAATAGTGATTCCAATTCCTAAAAATATAGGAATGATGTGATCCAAAATGAATTAAAAGTTGAAAAGTAACTTCTAACCCACTTCCTAAATGTTGGAATTGATCCTTTCTCATGCCATGTAACAGTTAGAAATTTCTATTAATTTTCCAATTGACGACTTTGTAAAAAATAAGAAACAAAAAGTTCTAATTTTGTTTGGGATGTAAAAATATTTTGAAAATGTGTTTGGTGTTGATAGAGCTGATGATGGCGGCTGAAAAATAAAATAAAATAAAAAGTGTAAATAAAGTGTAAATTACTAACAGGTCATTAAGGTAGTGGCAGAAAAATAAAATTATAAAAAGAATAAATTGCTAATGGGTCCTAGTTTTTGAATTTATTACCTACTTATTGATCAGTTTATCTTATTTTTATGAATAAATTTTCAGTGATAAATTTATTTGTCAAGACCTATAAATAAATAAATTTAATTAATAAGACTGATTGGTAAGTGCCTAACAAAAAAATTATAAATAGTAAAATTTATACACTTTAATAATTAAAATGTTATTGTTGGCTACGTATTTTGTAAAAGACCAGTTACAGTTCGACGCGTGGCAGAGTAAAAGTAATATAGGAAGACTGTTCAAGTCTTCGATCCTAATCGTACACGTGACAGTTGATATTGTCTAGTGCGTGGTCCGAGTAACATTGGATCAGCAAAGAGATGCAAGGTGACGTGGCTTCAACAGTTACTCACATTCAAATTCAAATATAGGAAGGAAGCTTAACTGCAAGTGATGGCATAGTGGAACTACTTATAAGGCAGCATGATCAGTGATCACGGAGGAGCAGTTCGACAGTTTGAAGTACAGTTCAATGGTCATCTTTGAGGAGTATAAATAGCAGGGAAGACCCCAGAAAAACGCTTAAACTCAGATCCAACAAACTAGTCTTACTTTACATATTTCTTTCCAGTTTTTATATTTCTTGTTCTTTACATTCCTGTACTTTAAATTCTTGCACTGCACTTCATTCATAGGAGTAGTTTCAAATAGATTGTCGCTGTAAACTTCTACGAGGCTAGATTTGGATCATTGTAAGTTTTTCATACTAATGAAGTGCTTCAATTGCTCTTTATTTAACTGTTCTTGTGCTTAAATTCTCTTAAATCCAGCCACCAGTAAAAGTCCTCTTCATTGAGGCTGAAAGAACTACAACACAATCGTCTGATAATTGGTTGGCAATTAAAAT